CTGTAAAATTGTACAACCATTATGGCATATGGTATGGTGTTTCCTTAAAAAACTGAAAATAGAAATACCATTTGACCCAGCAATTCCATTTACTAGGAATATATTCTGAAGAGGTGAAAGACACCACACAAATAGACATATGTACACCTATGTTCATCACAGCACAATTCACTATAGCAAAGAGATGGAAACAACCTAAATGCCCATCAACAGATGAGTGGATAACCAAATTATGGTACATGTACACAATGGAATACTATGGTACATTAAAGAACAATGAGGAATACATGAATCATCTCGCACGTGGATGAGCCTGGAGGACATTATGCTGAGTGGAATAAGTCAATTTCAGAAGGACACATACTGTATGAGCCCATTATTGTAGAAAGACAAAAGAAGGGTTTGTTTGTTATAAGGAACTCACTTTATAGATTACTGGGGTGGGGAGGGAAGGGGAAGGATTAATTCTGGGCTGGTTGGGGCCCACATGATGACGTGGGTAAGGGGAGGAATGTATGGAAAGAGTCTGTGGCCACCGTGATAACATTAGGAAAAGGGAGGACACTGAATTGTGCACATAGGAGATAATACCAAACAGTGTGCCCACAATACTGCATTACCATTGACACCAAACACCAGGCTACGATAAACACATAAACACCTGAGAGGATCAGATGGAGGTCAGTGAACAGGAGTATGCTCTAGGCCAAGGATAGATTCAACACAGGCTAATCTTGCACAGATACCAATGATACAAAATACCTGCAATCCTTACAGAAACAATAGAAGACAGACACAGAGTAATCCCTCACAGACACCCAGACACTGTGGGAGAGAGATCCAACATATCTACTGTCTCAGGACCATAGTACTGGGGGACACCAGACTCAATTGGCACAACAAAATACATAAAAGCCTTGTTCCTCATCCTACATTGATGAGTAGTGACTGGGTTCTTAAGAGCTTTGAAGTGGCCATCTAAGATGGACCAAATGCTCGCCTAGGAGCTCTGGTAGCGTAGTGCCTAAGGCACTTGACTGCTAACCAGAAGGCCAGTGGTTCAAACCCACAAGCAGCTCCTTGGAAGGAAGGTTGGGCAATCTACTTCTGTAGTGATACCGCCTCGGAAACCCAAGGAGGGGTCACTATGAGTCGGGTCCAGATAATAACACTAACATCAACAATGGTCTCCTATCATCAGAAGCGAAGAAGAGGGATTGAAAAGAAATTAAAAGGGGGGTGGCATTTGGAAGCAGTCAGCCCTAGGACACTACAGCCCACGAGACTAGAAGAACTAGATGGTGCCTGGCTACCAATGCCAGCCACTCAGGAAAGGATCAAATCTGGAGATCTTGGATAGAGTGGGAGGAAAAACGTGGAACTAAATCCAAAAACTCAATAATGACCAGAATTACTGGTTGGATGGAGTCTGGTGAGACCCCCAGTACTATGGCCCTGGGATACATTCTGCACCTGGAATAAAGCTCACTCCCAAGGGCTGGCTCTCAGCCCAATAGTAAACAAGATGTACATGCAGACCACTCAACCCAGGGTGACACACCCACAATACCCTATGGAAATACATTCGTTGGAACAATAGACAATAGACAATGGTTTGAAGGCACCACTGAAATAAAGGAACTACCAAACCAGAGGGACAACATTCACATGGAGGAAATGCAGGACAAACAGGAGTGCATAACCATGAAGGGCACGGGGGAGGGGGGTGTTACTGCGCAGGGAGGGGAGGAAACTGGAATAGGGTTGGGCATGATAAATGGGGAGTGAAACTAAATGTACACATAATGTTGAATGTAAAACTCTTAAAATGAAAATAAAATAAAAACACTGCCTGGCACACAGTAGACACTATGTAAACATTAGTTGACTAAATGAATGAATAAGGAGTGCTAGTGGCGTAGTGCCTGAAGCATTTGAGTGCTAATAAGAAGACTGGTGCAACCCACCAGCCATTCCTCAGAAGGAAGGTTGGGCAATATACTTCCATAAAGATACCGTCTCAAAAATCCAAGGAGGGGTCACTATGAGTCGGAGATGACTCAGTGGCACATAACAACAACACAACAACAAATGAATGAATAAGCTATTGGATGGCAAGGTAGTGACCATAAAAATACTTATGAAGACAAAAGGCAGACCAAGTATAAAAATTATAATGTTAAATATTCAAAGCTAAAGCTTAACCTGCAGAAAGGCTGTATTATGTATTCAGATTGTAGTAACAATGTATTCAGATTGTATAAATAAATAAAACTCAACTGTAACTTGCATTAGGAGTTCTAGTGGTGCTGTGGTTAAAGCACTGGGCTGATAACCAAAAGGTCAGCAGTTGGAACTCACTCCCATGGGAGAAATATGAGGCAGTCTGCTTTCATTAAAGATTATTATGAGTCAGAATTGACTATATGGCAGTGGGTTTGGTTGGTTTGGTTGTAACTTGCATGGGAAAGACAAATGTAAATCAAACTGACACAAAATGATTAATAGACAAATATAAACCAAACTAGAAAAAAAAATTAATTTTAGAATGAAAAAAGATGGATACAACCTTAATGCCCAATAAACAAGACTGATTAAATAATAACATGTTAGCTTAATTTACTAAACCTTTAAAAATGGTAATTGTTGTTGTTGTTGTTATGTGCCGTCGAGTCAGCCCCGACTCATAGCGACCCCTCCTTGGGTTTCCGAGGCAGTATCACTACGGAAGTAGATTGCCCCATCTTCCTTCCGAGGAGTGGCTAGGAAGACCTTTAAAAAATATATTTTTTAAAAAAAAGACCTTTAAAAAAAACACTAAAAAAAAAACTGCCATCGAGTTGATTCCAACTCATAGCGACCCCCATTGGGTTTCCTAGGTGGTAAATCTTTATGGAAGTAGATTGCCTCATCTTCCTTCAGCTTAGAAATATAATATTTACTTAAAAACTTTAGATAACAACTTTAAGCCTACTATGATTAAAATTATGTGAACATGTGTTTTCTAAACAAAGACTAAAAAATACAAAGCAGGATCCAATAAGAGAAAGAGAGATTTAAAATAAACTTTATTGCAAAACAGAAAACATTCTTTGGTGATATTTGAGTTGTTGTTGTTGTTGTTGTTATATGCCGTCGAGATATTTGAGTACATGAGAATAATTTTTTAGGTGAACTTGAAAATACCAGTAGTACAATTTCTTAGAATTCTTTTCAGGGATACCTGGTGTGTGTTGGTGGGGGGAGGGAGAAAGAGGGACTAGGGAGTGTTTGAAGGCACTGTTGAACTAAAGGAACTACGAAACCAAACCCACTGCCATTGAGTCTATTTCTACTCACAGCGACCTTCAATGGGTTTCCAAGGCAGCAAGTCTTTACAGAATTAGTTCACCTCATCTTCCTTCTAAGGATTAAACTGCCAACCTTCTGGTTAGCAGTCAAATGCCTTAGGCACTGTACCACCAAAACTCCTTAAAGGAACTACAGGACATTCTCATTTTAAGCATGGCATGTCAGGGTAGGGTCCATTCCTGATGTTCTTGAATAATTCAACACTAATCCTTAAAACGGAGCTGTGGTGGCATAGTGGATAAGACATTTGGCTACTAACCAGAAGGTCCGCAGTTCAAACCCACCAGCTGCTCTGCGGGAGGAAGATGAGACAATCTACATCTGTATAGATTTACAGCCTTGGAAACCTAATACCAAAAACAGAAATAAAAAAACTCACTGCCATGGAATCAATTCAACTCATAGCGACTCCTCCTTGGGTTTCTGAGGCAGTATCTCTGTGGAAATAGATTGCCCGATCTTCCTCCTGAGGAGTGGCTAGTGGGTTTGAACCACCAGGCTTCTGTCTGGTTAGCAGTCAAGTGCCTTAGGCAGTTCACAACTAATGGAGGTCGCTGTAAGTCAGAATGACTCCATAGCAATGTTTCATTTAATCCTTAAAAGGTTAGTGGGCATTTTGATTTATACCCATAGTGGCTCTGTAATGGGGCAATAACATCAACACAGCTTACAGTTTTATACATTTGCCATTTCTAATTGTGTGATTCTGGATACAATAATAATTTTGGAAGATCTACATTATTCTAAAGGAGCTCTGGTGGTGCAGTGGTTAAAGCATTCGACTGCTAATCACAAGGTCAGGGGTTCTAACCCATTAGCTGCTCCCATGGGAGAAGGATGAGGCAGTCTGCTTCTGTAAAGATTTACAGTCTTGGAAAACCTATGGCGCAGTTCTAATCTGTCCTAAAGGGTCACTATGATTGAGAATCAACTCAATGGCAGCGGGTTATGATTTTGGCATAATTTAAACAGTTTGCATGACATGAAACCTTATCAATTAGTATAATATTGTACTATTTGGATTTTGGATAATTTAATTCACATAGCATGTGACAACACTGTATGTATTTCACAACTCAGATGGGTGGTTAGTTCTGGGCACGTTCTTCTTGATAGATTTGGAAATGGAGACTGAGTTAAAGGAGGGTAACCTCCTTCTTCATCCTCCTCCAGGGAGATAGATCCTATCAAAAGTGGTGAGCTTTGGTAGCATAGTACGTAAGGCACTTGACTGCTAACCAGAAGGCTGGCGGTTCAAACCCACCAGCCACTCCTCAGAAGGAAGGTTGGACAACCTACTTCTGTAGTGATACCGCCTCGGAAACCCAAGGAAGGGTCGCTATGAGCTGGATCCGATTCAACAGCACATAACAACAACAAAAACAAACCTGCTTCTTCATCCCCCTCCAGGGAGATAGATCCTATCAAAAGTGGTGATGCTAAAATTTGCACCCAGGTTTGTCAAACTTTAACCACCACCCCCTCCTACTCTTTCTACCAGCCACTAAATTGTCTTGGAAGGGGGAAAAAAAAGGAGGATTTTTCCATTTTGCTTTCATTAATTCTTTATCTTCCATGTTGTTCAGTGAAATTAATTTGGATCTGAAGAGCAACAATCATTTTTTAATTTTTTTTTTTTTAAGATATTCTCATTCTGGAGTTGAAGAACGTCTAGAACCTTCTTCTGCTAAAAAATTAACAGACATAGGAATTAGACGAATCTTTTCTTCAGAACATGACATTTTCCGGGAAAATGTAAGGAAATTTTTTCAAGAAGAATTGGTTCCTCATCACACAGAGTAAGTGGCACATTTTCCTTTAATGTAATGTACAATGGGAGTGTGATTAAGTACCATTTTCTAGAATGCTCAATGCCCTGCAAATAAAAGTTTCCCCTTTCCTCTGCTCCCTTCTTCCACTGGTAAACACTAATAATCTTTGGTTTCTCTATATATATTTATTTTGTTTTGTTTCAACATTGATGCTGAGGTGTTGGAATTTTCTATAAATTTTAGAAATAAGTCCTTTGTCCAATATGTCATTGCCGAATATTTTTTTCCATTCTGTAGGTTCTCTTTTTACTCTTTTGGAGAAGTCTTTTGATGCAGATAAGAATTTAAATTTTAGAAAATCCCAATCATCTAGTTTATCTTCTGCTGTTTGTACATCATGGGTTATGCTTGATAGTCTATTTATGACATAAATTAGGGCCCCTAACTTTGCCCCTCCTCGGAAGGAAGGTTGGGCAATCCTACTTCTGTAGTGATACTGCCTCGGAAACCCAAGGAGGGGTCGCTATGAGTCGGGGCCGACTCAATGGCAAAACAACAACAACAACAT